AAAAAAGTATATGGAAAAATAAAAATCAAGTTTAAGTCATTTTATTCGACTTTACGTCTGTCCGCCACAAATATTGAAGTCGTAATATCACTAGATAAACGTTTAAAGCACATAAAATCATATTAAAATATATACAAGTATGTACTGTATTTACAGTACACGCATTCGTAAATTTAGATTACTTTTTTTGTACTATATTAAAAACTAAAATTTATTTGTTTGTAAGCTTAAAATAGATTTTTATTAACCATATATTATTTAAAATGCTTTCCTAGTGATAAGTAGATTCGGAGACAGGTAAATTCGACTTACGTCGTTTTCCTGGAACCAATTACTGACATAAGGCGAGGTATACCTGTATTTATTTGATATGAAAGAAAATGCTGGCATTATGACATTTTATTCTGAAATTTGTTTCTTATTTCAATCATTTAAGATAGTTACATTCCTCTTTATTCATGATTTTAAAAAAATTGTAATTATCATCTCTCTCTTAATGATATGAAACTGTGCTTTTGCAATTTGTTTCTGCTCCTAACACAATGAAGTGCTATAAATTAAGACACTTGGCGGGTTTCCTCATCTTTATTTAGTTGATACGTGTGAAAAAATTACACATTTCAGGCTCTTAAGCCCCTCTTCAGCCAACTAAAACATAAAAAGGAATATAACACATACATATAAAAAATACACAAGTTTTGTAGAATTTTTTAAAATTATTGTGATTTAAACATACCTATGCATACAAGTTTTATAAATTAAAGTGACAGCGTACTCTCAATATTTTTTCAGTGAATCAGCTTATTCTCAATATTTTTTCAACCAACTAAAATATTAGGAGAGTATACGACATATATATACACAATAATATACATAATTTTTATAAAATTTATAAAATTTTCTTGATTTAAAGCATACCTTGAGTACGACCGTTGTTAAAGTTGTACACAATTGATTATACTTTCCACTTATAAACCAGTTTTGTAAAATCCTTGATTTAAAACATACTTTGGACTCAACAATTATCAAAATGTTGATAATTGTTGTGGAATTGTTGGATAATTGTTGATAATGAGTGGAAAGCACAATTGATTATGCTTTCCACTCATAAATCAGTTTTGCAAACCCGTTTTACAAAATCTTTACTTCCTTTGATATGCATTGACAATATAGTACGAATTTACATATCTTCTACAATATAATACAAAATTTACATAACCCCTTTCACGTGAAAGTAAGGAAACACAACACTGTTACAGGAAAATATGTAAAGATGAATCTACAGCTGTATCAAGTCAATTACAAGAGTTATTTGCTGGATTTCAAGTCTCTCTCTAGTACTGAAAGTCCAGAACAAAATAAAGGTTTTGCTGGAAGGGCAAAGGATGTTGAGTGGAGGAAACAGTACTGATGATTAACATTTAATATAAATTTACATATTATTTGACACCTATTACAATATTACAGTTATTTGTTATTGTTGATTTATTTAACAGTTCAATATTTATTATTATAAATTAGCACATTGATCATAATAATAATACAATTTTTTGAATCTAGTAGATACAATTAATCATCTCTCTTCAAATATTTCAATTAATATTTTCTTTCATGTTTTAAAGAATATAGTGGACTCTCGATTTTATGAACTTATATGGACTTCAGAAAAAGCTTGTAAGTGGGAATGTTATTAAAACACAAAAAAATTCATTTTGAGCATATCTTGGAATATCTGAATTCCGGACAATATACTGAATATTTCTTTTTCTTCCTGAGAGATCCAGAAATAATTTTGATGTGGAAATATGTACCAAATATAAACCTATATATTTATTGCTGACTTGGATGGCCAAGGCATCATCCAGCAGCTTCCATTGTGAGTCTGGCTGAACTTATGATAAGCATGAAAAAGGTCCTTTTAGTGTCCACAAGGGACAATGTACAAAAAAGTCAAAGCAACATACCATTCAAGTTGGGATCAGTTATTTTCAAATTAGAAGTTGCAAAATGCACATTGTGGTGAGACAACATCAGTTGACATGAGCCATCTTACAGTGGCTCATTCCCAAATCAGGGCTAGCCATTTTAAAATTTCAAGAAATAGATTGCATTTGCCATGAGCTGGACATCTGTTTGTAATACTTTTTATGAGCCATATTACAGTGGCTTATTGCCTGAATTAGAATAAAACTTTTTACTTTCATATAATAGACAGCACTTATTTTGTTCATTAATTTATTTTTCTCAAATGAAATATAATATATATTAAAGTAAGAAAAAGCCACTGATCAAATGGCCCATTGGGAAATTACTGATATCCCAATAAACCAGTTCACCACTTTTCCAAATCCAGTTGTCAGGTTATAACATATCAGTTTTTCCAAATACAGGTATACCTCGCCTTACGTCGGTAATTGGTTCCAGGAAAACGACGTAAGTCGAATTTACCTGTCTCCGAATCTACTTATCACTAGGAAAGCATTTTAAATAATATATGGTTAATAAAAATCTATTTTAAGCTTACAAACAAATAAATTTTAGTTTTTAATATAGTACAAAAAAAGTAATCTAAATTTACGAATGCGTGTACTGTAAATACAGTACATACTTGTATATATTTTAATATGATTTTATGTGCTTTAAACGTTTATCTAGTGATATTACGACTTCAATATTTGTGGCGGACAGACGTAAAGTCGAATAAAATGACTTAAACTTGATTTTTATTTTTCCATATACTTTTTTAACAAGCGACGTATAATCGGGAACGACGTAACTCGAAACCGACGTAAGTCGAGTTTTTATTTTTCCATATACTTTTTTAACAAGCGACGTATAATCGGGAACGACGTAACTCGAAACCGACGTAAGTCGAGGTATGCCTGTAATGATATCAGCATGTTGTGAAAGCTGTAGTGAGTGAATATAAGTGTGACAAATCATTGATGCTATTTGTCTTATTCTGATTTTTAATTCTGTTTTCCCAGTGATATACAATAAATTATTCTGTTGAGTTTTTTATTGAATGCAACATTTCTGTACAGATTGTAGACACACCTATGGATGTTGTCTATTGATTGTTGTTCAACAATAACTATATCAAGAAGTAACTATTTCACAGTATGTTGTTTGTAATGAGTATCATTGACAGATTCAATTTCAATGAGTGCAACTGTTGCCACCTGTCCTACAGCTGGACACTTTGGCATATAAATGGAGGAAGCTTTGAATTTAATATTTCAGCTTTCATACTGTTAGAAAAATTAAACATAACTTTTCATGGAAGAAATAAAAGTTAAATTTTATTTTACAAACAAAAGGTTATGTAATTTCTTGTATGAAAAATAATGCCTGGCATAACATCTCTTTTTGTTTCTATGGGCAGTACCAAACATGTTAATGTACAAAATGGAACTGATAATTATTCGTCTTCACACACCGGGATGATATACAAAAAACACATAAAACCTGTTAATCGGAGTGGTTGCATATTAGGATAGCTAACGTTTCCGAGGTCCCTTCTGGACTCTTCTTTAAGCTATTGGGCAAAAAAGAAGTTGGACATTGTAAATCGAATAATTTCCTTTTGAACAGATCATCATTCGAATCATAGCATGTGGAAACCTTCCAGGAGATTTAAAATGAAACAAGTTATGTTTAGTGTAAAGAGCATGTGCAACTTATTGATGTTGAAATATTTAAATATTATTATCTAGCAAGATCTGCAAAATGTCTTGGAGGCTATGGAAATATTCAGAGCAGGATGTAGCACCATGTGCATTAATTTTAAATACGAGATGGCCCTTTCAACAGTGTGGCAGATCCTGCTAGATAATAATATTTAAATATTTCAACATCAATAAGTTGCACATGCTCTTTACACTAAACATAACTTGTTTCATCTTAAATCTCCTGGAAGGTTTCCACATGCTATGATTCGAATGACGATCTGTTCAAAAGGAAATTATTCGATTTACAACATCCGACTTCTTTTTTGCACAATAGCCTGAAGAAGAGCCCAGAAGGGGACTCGAAAATGTTAGTTACCATAGTACGCAACCACTCTGGTTAACAGGTTTTACGTAAGTGTTTTTTGTATGGAACTGATATATGTCTGTTAATAAAAAATAAATTTCAGCTGTAATTCTTAGTATGATAATGATAAAATTATTGTATTTTTTTTATAATGTCAATATTATCTTATATCAAAAATGTATTTTATTTGTATTTGCACAAATCAGGATTGATGATTTTCTTAAACTTTCAGTGATGAAAAATAGAGTAATGTAATTTGTAATTAATATTTCAGATATGATTAGTACGGAACATTGTTAATTTCTAATTTCTCTGATCTTTTATTAATTATGTAATGTAGATAATTAAGTTAATTTTGTAAAGTAATTGGTTTTGAAATCATTTTGATAGATAAGTAAACTCTGCAGAAACATTAGAAGTTAATTGTTAAAGTTCATTCATTTTATTTTTTAATGCTAATAGTCTCCATCCAGATATTTTTATTTGGATGAAAGATGTATTATGAATAGCTTTATTTTTATTATATAGTATAAATATATTTGGAGTTTTGTTTCTTTCAGAAAAATCAAGTGAATTATGTAGAATATTGTTCAAGCCATATTCACAGCACTGATTTTGTGTAAAAGATTTTGTAAAGTAGAAAAAAGTGTGTATGAAATATTTGCATTGCAATATATCATGATTCTTCAGATAACATTTGAATGAAACTTGTGTATAAAAAAGAAACATTTTTTTATAAAAATACTTACATTGTGTACATATTTAGATTATCATAATTACAGGTGTATGTTTTGTATGTGTAAATATAAATAGAGTGTATGAGAAGAGAGAGTGTAACATTATCTTCATCAAATGTTAAGAATTGAAAAAATTGTTTACAATTAAGAAAATATTATAAAATGCATTTTCTTTAATATAATATTATGAAGTTTTTCACATGCAATTAATTTATAGTTTGTAGAACAGTAGTTATATTTTAAAGTATATTAAAAAGTATTTTTAAAATAATAAATTTTAATAAATGCAAAACATTATTTCTGTTAATTTTTAAAAAGAATATTTTGTATTTATTGTGAAATAATTTTACAAGTTGTAAACCAAAACTGTTATCAACTATATTATCTCATTATGTCTTTATTTATCATCAGAGTTTTCAATAGATAAGCCTTTAGAATTATTATCAAAAAAATAAATTTATTAGATATAATAATTTCATAAAATTAATATTATTCTGAATAAACAGTATCATAATGCATTAATATTTGAAATTTTAAGAGATATAATTTGTAAAAATCAATGCTTAATTATTATTTCAAAATCTATTATTAGTGTAGTGTATGCTTTTATATTTATAAATTAGAAAATAAGGGATTATAACATAATTTTGCATAGTGCAAAATCTTTTAAATTCTCATATTCTGTTTACAAAAAATAGTGATTTTTATAAATCAAATGCCTATACTTTTACAAATATTTTTAAGTCGGTCTTTGTTTGAAAAGTTTTTTGAAAGTAATACATATTTCAGGTAATCAGTTAGTCTATTAACTAATTATTAATATAAAAGTATTACTATTTATAAGTGACAAAACTAATTTTATCAAAAAAATATTCAAATTAAGTTATTAAATAATTTCTGAATTGGACATGCCTCCATCCTTTTATGACATTACCAATTTACACATCTACTTTTATTCCAGATTATTAATTCATTTAATAATTTAATTAGTTAAATTCTAACCTAAGAATTGCAGCCAATTATTAATAATTAATAAATGAATATCTTGAATTTTAGTTTTTGACATTTAAAACACATAAAATGATATGTAATCTGATTAGGCATTAGTATTAGGTTCAAAAATGATTCTTTCAAATAAAAGAAAATCTAGCATCTAAATTTGTCTATAAAATTTTAATATTTCTGATGTTTTATTTCTCATATTTAAAGCTATAAATATCAAAACAAAAGTAAAATATAATTATCACAGTGCCCATTAGTACTAGTTACTATAAGTAATGTTTTATTTTTAATTTTGAACATTGGATTTAAAATTTATACAGTAGAACCTCGAAATCTCGGCCTAATGTGGACCGAAGGGTGGCTGAGTTTGTGAAAATGCTGGGTTATCGGGAATGGGGTTAAAAAAAATAAATATGAGTGTTTCCTCAGAAAACACAGTACTGTACTTGTATGTATTGTTTACTTGAGAATACAACAGAGAATAAACTGCCCAAATACCCTTAAACAAAGGAAAAGTACGTCCTTTATGAAGGCATAGAGCCTTTACTACATGAAAATGAAAATTAATGAATACACTGTGTACAGTAATTTACCTGATAAGACAGACCTCAGAAAAATACTTTATGAGAGCTTTTATACTTTTATAAAGCTGTCTATAATGAAAATTAATTAACTAAGGATTTTTTTGTCCTGCCAGGGTGTGGCCGAGTTATCCGGAGTGCCGGGTTATCGAGAGCCGAATTTTCGAGGTTCTACTGTAATCCAATTTATTAAGTAATGAATTTTCAACATACATTGTAATGAAACAAGATTTTTAACTTTTGATATTATTAATTACTATAGATTATTACATTCAATTACATACATTTTTAGTCTCACGAAAATGATGAAAGGAACTACGAAATTTTAATTACAAAAATCGATTTTATTATTTTTATAAATTATATCTTAATGATTAAGTATAAACGATTCAATTTAAGAAATTATATTACAATTAAAATTGAAAAAATAAAAAAAAAAACACATAGAATTACCATAGACGATTCGTAGAACTTTGCATGGATGGTTCATTATGGAGTTCGTATAAATTTGTTATAACATTTATTAATTTTGCTTTTTAAATTATTTAAATATTAAAATGTCGACGAAAGATTTTTTTAGTTCGAATTTACGTATTTAAAAATAAAATAAAATAATGTTTGTAGTGATTTTATTTTCAGTAAATTCATAGATCTTTAGCTATTAGTAATTCGTGTTTTTCCATAAAATATATAAGATTATTGATTCTATGAATGGTGGATGATTCCTTACTTAATTACATAAATTCACTGATGAAATTTTATTTAAAGAATGAGTTGGAGATTTCTAAATAAACGTAATAAATCATAATTAACTTATATTAATTAGATGCATTTCATTTCATTTAGTCCTGTCCGTAATTTTTTATTACAATTAATTAGTTGAAAAATGAAAAATAGATTTATGTAGAAGTTATATTTATCTCTTACATCAGAAGGCAATTTATTAAATATAAACTTTGACTTCGTTTTTCTATAACAGAATATGTCAAATCATTATTTATTATTAATTTTTTTCGCATCTTTATTAGAAGAATCTTAATTAAAATTAGCTTTACATTATTTTAACATCAACAATCTAACAATTCCTGTTTGTATTATTTAACTATTGTCTCTCTGTTATTAAAAAAGTTATTATTATTTTTTTTTAGTTTTTCGATAACAAATTTTATTATTAAAAACTATAAAAATATTACAGAATTATGATGCGATAATTTATTTATTTACTAATATAAAAATCTAGTCAAGAAAAGGAAAAGTTTTTCCCATTTATTTTTATATTTAAGCTGATCAAGGACTTATCTTTGAATCAAATTGGTTTAACAGATTTATTTTTCTCAGATTTAGGAAATCGCATAGAAATGCTGAGTTATCAGAATTCAGAAAATCTTCAAGATTACAAATATCTTGAATATTGATTGAGCTCTACCATGTAATGTACAGTACAGTACAGTACTTTCGTCATGGTAATGTCCTCCAATATCTGATAATAGATTCGAAATATTTTATTACTGCAATTCTTTTCTTTTTCATTGATTTTGCTCTAGAATCAAACAACTCTTAAGTAAATATTTTATTGCAAGTTCATTATTATCCGATTAAGTATCTTATTAATTTTAATTTCTTACGTTGTGAAAATTATCCTCTGCTTTTATCTGTCGAGGCTTAATCGTTAATACTTTTATAGTAAATGCTTCGGTAACAGAATTAAGGTTATAAGGTTGAAGAATAAATGACGTGTAAGACAAGTCGTTAGGATCACCAACAGGAAGGAGGAGGAACGGAAATGTTCCTTTGTTCGTTTCCTTCTCATCTATCTGCTTTCGATTCTCTCTGAAGAAGTTGTGAACTGCAAAAATAAAATCTTAAATTTAAGTTTATTATATATACATTACGATTTAAATAATATATATGAAACTGAATGGTTGTAAAATTGAAGAAAAAAGGAATAACATTTAGACATTTGCTTCAGGAAANGCATAGAGCCTTTACTACATGAAAATGAAAATTAATGAATACACTGTGTACAGTAATTTACCTGATAAGACAGACCTCAGAAAAATACTTTATGAGAGCTTTTATACTTTTATAAAGCTGTCTATAATGAAAATTAATTAACTAAGGATTTTTTTGTCCTGCCAGGGTGTGGCCGAGTTATCCGGAGTGCCGGGTTATCGAGAGCCGAATTTTCGAGGTTCTACTGTAATCCAATTTATTAAGTAATGAATTTTCAACATACATTGTAATGAAACAAGATTTTTAACTTTTGATATTATTAATTACTATAGATTATTACATTCAATTACATACATTTTTAGTTCTTCCAATAAAAAAATTTTTGATTGAAAATTTTTTGAATTAAAAAAATAATTTTTAATTCAAAAAATTTTATCTGCTAAAGTGAATGTATTATATAATTTAAACAGATATGTTACAATTATAAAATAAATCAATTATAAAAATATCAGTTAATGTATTATAATAAAATGTTTGAGAATAACTATGAAAACATTTTGATTTAATAGGTATTTGGATATACAGGACATTGCTTTTATATATAAAGAATCTATAGGAGTTATATCAAATATCTCTATAAGAGGATATCTCAAAATACTTAATTATTTCGTTATTTTATATCTAAATATAAAGATATAAGATATATGATTAAAATATGTGCCTTATACTTACGCAAACCATTAAAATTATCAATTTTAGCTAAGAATATTAGTGTGGAAGCTGCTTTCATTATATCCTAATATCATAATTTATATATTTTTTTAATCACAAATGATCTTTGAAACATTGTAATCTTAAATTATTCTCTTTTCTTTTAATGAAATTTATTGAAGTGATTTAAGTTAACAAGAGACAATAAAGCATATGATCCAAAATTATAAAATATTTGCATATACAAATCTACTAAAAAAACATAATCAAGTAATCATATGATTTATAAAGCATTTATTAAAGCTGTTTGCAAAACATAATCTTTATTCCTAGACAGAACATTTTATAAGTACAAATATGGATAATAAAATAAATATTTAAATAGAAATTTATATTTTGCAACATGAATTTTTGTTTTTTATAATTTTATATGTGGCATACATATAAATCAATCATTTATAAGTACAGTACATTTATTAATTTATGCATTGTTAAGGAATGTGTAAAGAATTTGACTCCAAAGTTTAGTGTGTTTTGAAGGTAATTGTTCTGTTACGATTTGAAAAATTCCATCTTAAAGAATTAATGGCAAATTTAAGCTAGATATTTTTTTAAGATTGTCATATAAAAATTCCAATATTTTGAAGTTGTTTAAGTTAAAACATATTTGATAAATTAGATGATCATATTTTATTGAGCAGTTTTAAGACTAAAATATATGATTATTAGATTAATTTCAATATTATATAATTTAACTGATTAACATTATCATTCAAGATGAATAAAAACTCAATTAGAAACATTGGTCTTTCTAAAAACTTATTTTTAATTTAAAAAGTTGTGAAGTTTAATATGAATCATAAGTAACTTGAATGCATCCTTGAAAATAACTTAGCACTTTCAAATTTCCAACAAATTTGTTGTTCTCCATACATTCTATTTTTTAAATATTGTCCTTGTTGACATTAAACCATCCTTTAACAGTCTT